TCCTTGATAGGTACTGCTTCTGGCCATTGAGTGAAACGGTCTACGCAGGTTAAGAGTATCTATTTGAATCTGGTAAAGGTCCTACCAAATCCAGATTAACATGGTCGAGACGAGCATCGGGAGTTTTAAATGAGCCTAAGGGACATTTATTGTGTTTGATAACCTTAGATTTCATACAGCTTACACAGGAGCGTGCCCACTCCCTCACGTCTTTGTTCATGCCAGGCCAGCTAATCCGTTCTGCTATAAGTTTGATGGTTGCACGAACACCTGGATGAGAAAGTTTGTGCAACGTAATGAAGACGTTGCGTCGATAATGTTTCGGCACGATTGGGCGATCCCTACCTGTAGATGTGTCATAAAGTAAGGTTTCCTTACCTGTTCCAATCTGTTTGATGCGTAGTTTATGTGTTGTGGACGATAACTCGTGTTGAAGATCACTGTCTTCTTTTTGAAGCTCGGAGAGTTTAAGAAGGTCGATTCCTTGGAAACTGTCCAAGGAAGTTATGCGAGATAGAGCGTCTGCAACTACATTGTTTGCTCCAGAAATGTGTTGGATGTGTGAAGTATATTGCGAAATGTAGTCCAGTTGTCGAGACTCACGGGGAGAGTACTTGTCTGAAGGAGAGCTTAGAGAGAAGGTGAGCAGTTTATGGTCAGTGAAAAGAGTGAATTCACGACCTTCGATGTAGTGTTGGAAATGTCGTACAGCACAATACATAGCTAGGAGTTCCCTACCGAATGTGCTGTACCTTGATTCGGTGTCTAGCAACCTTTTAGAGAAAAATGCCAAGGGTTACCAGGAGTTGTTAACCCATTGTTGTAAGACTCCTCCGATTGCTGAGTCGGACGCGTCTACTGCTAATAATAATAATAATAATAATAATAATAATATATTTCTGCATGTGCAGGTACACACCGTTTTTACAGGCATGATCTATAAATTACAACATTTGTTGGTTCGCAAAATGCTTCCCAACTTATTAAGTTTATAGTTGTTATAAAGTGAAATCGTAGAGCGCTTGCTGTAAACTATGACCTTGAGAGGACGCGTACGTTAAGTTTGCTCCAAACGTCAGAAGTTTCATAGCTGTGCTCTCAGAGCAAGATTCTGAAGGAGAAAAAAAAGAGAAACAGAAGAGCAGCAAGGCACTTGGATATGAACGCCGAAGGTTGCTTAACATTGTGTAGTAGAACGGACAGAGGTATAATAAATTAGAATAAATTCATATTATGTCTTGTTAGAGTGAAGTGAAGTCAGAGGCTCCATATTAGAGAATGTACTAATAAAGAACAACGAGTAGTGATGTTTAACAAGTTGGAGTAAGCTCACATGAGGGAAGGGAAGTCAAGGTTGGTACAAGGGAAGCGGTTTGTTCGAAGGGTGTATATATAGAGGATGAAGTGTTAAGAATACTAGTGACTATATCTTTTATTGTCTTTTTTCTTTTCTTTTTTTGTCCATTTGATGTCAGCCACGCAATCCTAGTGTAAAAGTCCGAGTTACAATAATGGATGCTTCGGTGTCCTGATGGGCAAGCATTGTTGCTTTAGCGATAAGTTCCTTAACTGTGGAGAATGCTTTTCGCGCGGTGCCGTACAAATTGATGGATTTCGCATTTCGACGAAGTTGATCAATAAGAGGTTTCATAAGTAACGCGCATTCAGGTATGAAACTTCTATAGAAACTTGCAAGGCCGTCAAACTCTCGTTATGGCTTGATCGTGGTCGGTTCTGGTTTGTCCAAAATGGCCGCCACTTTGGATCTAAGGAGTCAAATTCCTTGAACATCGGCAGTGTGTCCTAGAAAGTCTCATGAGTCGGTTCCGATTTGGCATTTCTGAATGTTTACAGTAATGCCATGTTTTTGTAGTCGATCGAAAACAAGGTCCAGATGCTTGAGATGCAATTCTCTGTCCGGACTTATCATTAGACAGTCGTCAACATATGCATGTACGAAGCTGAGACCTCAACAAACGTCGTCTATAAACCTTTGGAAGGTTTGTGCAGCGTTTTTTAAACCGAAGGGCATTCGCAAAAATCCGTAAAGTCCGAAAGGAATAATGATAGCCGTTTTCGGAATGTCGTCAGTGGTCATGAGAATTTGGTTATAAGCATTAACCAAGTCGATTTTCGAAAAGACAGTTGAATCTTACAAGGTGGCTGTCAAATTGTGAATGTGAGGCAACGGGTAACGATCGGGAATGGTTTTCGCATTCAATCGCCGATAGTCACCAGTTGGACGCCAATCATTGCTGCCCTTTTTTGGGACCATGTTCAGCGTAGATGCATATGGGCTATTTGACGGTCGTATGATTCCTAAGTCTATCATGTGGTTGAACTCGTTTTTCACCGACCTTAGCTTTTCGAGGGCTAGTCGTCGTGTTTTAGAGAACACAAGTGATCCTGTAGTCGTGATATGATGTGTAACGTTGCTGGTTACACATGGTAATTTCGGTTGCGTTTGGTGTATCCTGTGGTGGTCGGTATTCGATATAATCATTAAACTTCGTATACAGTTCGTCTTGATAACCGTTCTGTATAACGTCCAAACGGTATATTAATCAGAAGGCTAATACGAAGTGTTGATTACGTTTATTGCGAGACCATACACATATATCCAAATGTACAGATGCGTTAAACAAGCATAGAAGAGTTGTGCCGAAAGGCAAGCAAGCGAGCGGGAGCCAGAGCAAGAGCGAGATGAGAGTGTGTGAGTGAATGAGTATGAATAACATGGACATATATAAAGCATGTGAAATGAATGAATAATCGAATCAAATAATCAGTTAGTAGTAAGACTAGCAGAGTGAATAAATGCGTAGGCCGTAAGCAATATTCAAGCATACGTATTTCATACAAGCACAAAATAACAAGGGTACAATAAGTTGTTATAGTAAGGATGACTTTGTCCGCTAAATGAGTTAGCAAAAGAGCTTAACTGCGTTAGATGAGACTAGACGCATTTGCACGTGAGTCGCTATAATCCCAGGATACATATCGAGTAGTCGTTGATAAAGTGGGTCTATCGTATGCGTTAAAGTAAACGTACCTTTTGCCATACGTAGTGATAGGCTTTCCGTTTTCCGCCTGTAAGGTTAAAACTGACTCGTGAATCCGGTCGTTAGAATTCGCTGGGAGAACGCTAGTTTCTGCGCCAGTGTCGACGAGGTAGGGAACTCTCGTTGTCACAACTATGACGTATAACAGACGGCTATGCTCGCCAGCAACGGCTGCCGTTAACGCATGCCAGCTTGGAAGTTCCCCGAGTTGCTATTCGTGTCAGTGGATTTTGAGTTGGGAAAATTCCAAAGTTTTCTGCAATTTCTGGAAGACTTTCCATACTGGTTATGATACCAGAACCAGTCGGGGTTATCTGTCTCACGTGGTCTAGAGACAGATCGCTTACGTGAAGTGCTTCTACGTGGGGTGTGTGATCGCTTACGGTCGTTACGAGAATTAAGATAACGTGTAAGTGTATGAAATAACTCTGTTATGTCATTCTGGGTTGTTTGAGGCTCTCTTTTACTGAAAAACCTCGGTATTAGAAGATTTTGTGATTTCTAAAATGCGGTCGGCAGATGCAGCTAGCTCGTCTAAGGCGTTGTTGTGAAACGAGACAAGCACAGCTTGCACCTGTTGTGGAAGTTTCGACAAGAAAAGTTGTTTAAATAGGCCTTCATCGAAAGTTCTTTAGCCGATAACCTCTCTCATACGTTACAACATGTCCGTCGCAGAACCGCGTTGCAGGTCGATGTTATTGAGGAGTTGGTCTAACCTTTGTCTATAAATTAGGTCTCCGCGTTTAAGAATAGAACGTTTCAGCGTTTCATCAGGTTCAGAAACATCACTAGTAAACATACTAGGTATTACGTACCTGTTTAATTCGCACGGTACTGCCTTGACTACTGAGAGGAATTGTACACGTGTGTCGATTACGCCGTGCTCAGAAAAGCCGGCTTCTGCATAGCAAAACCAGGCCTCGATGTTGTTTGGCCAGAAGGGCATCAGTTGAAATGAAGGCAGGGATATAGTCTTGAGCTTAAGTACTTTAGGTGTCTGTTCAGTCATGATGAAATATGAAGTAGAAGAATGAAGGAGGGAAAATATATATATATCGAGAAACACGAGAAAAAATTATCACGATGTATAAAAAATTAAGATAAGGCAATGACATATAGTATCCCAAAAGGGAACAGACTCACAGTTTGCGATTTGGTGTACCAGATCACGTTAGGCTCACCAATGAAGATGGCACAAGTATTCAGTTTTTGACAACGCTTTTACCAGTAACACCCTCTAATATAACTCGTACCCACCAAGAGAAATCAAAAGACAGAATCGAGGGGATCAGAAGTTGTATTTGACGATTGCCAATATATCGGAATTATCTAATCTAATCTGGCTAGCGATTGCAGTAGCAGTTGAGTACGGCGTTCCAACACGTGATCTGGTGAGGATGCATGACCGAGTGCCTTCAGTTAGGTGAGTCCACTAAAACTAATCTGGTCAGCATCCAGTGTCGAAAACTTACAGAGCTATTTATTTTGGTGATTTATTTACCACTGCACAATAATTTGTATGCTGATGCGGACCACATCGAAGATATTTGTGGCATATGACCAAATTTAGGGTGGACTTTTTGTTATAAAGTCCATATTCCCAAATAGACTTGAAATTAATGCATGTATTTGAGAAGTGTGGAAAGCCTCCTGGTATTCTGAATGTACATATGGTTTGAAGTCTTGCTATAATGATAGTAAGTGTCTGGAAAGAAGTTACCCATAATCAGAGTAACATCGATCCAAGTAACGTCCTAGGAGCATTTCTAGAGAACAGTTGATGGATTCTCAAACAGTTAACCTAGCAGCTCACACGCATTTAGTGAAAGAATTGTTTATTCTGGTTTTCATTCACTAATTTCTGTGCCTAGCAATGTCTGTAACGATCAGAAGTGATTTGATGCATTGAATATATTATGTAGGACTTGGGCATTAAACACTTGTGGGGCGCTTTGTTTGGGTTTATTTCAAATAAATTCTGTACTATTTGTACGTTTCGCTTATGAATGCTGCTGCACTCTGTCATGAGTATTATTTCATGAAGAACAGGAAGCATGGTTAATTTTTTAAAAACGCTTTTATCTTTAAGTTTAGTCTCGTAACACGATAGTTCCCAATCTCCTTATTTTGGAGGAAAATTTTTGTCTGTTTTGGGGAAACGCTATAAACAACTTTGGGAAAATGGCACAAAAACCTCAGCATTTCCTCGGGTTTTGGGTAAACTGCCATGCTCCTTACGACTTTCTGGAAAACCACGAAATTTACCCAAAGTACCCAAAAATAGGGAGATTAGGTTTCTCATCCAGATTTGTTGATAATGTAATGCATGAATCTAATTTAGTTTTAATTTTGTCCATTATTTCGAGTATGTTGTCACCTCTGCTACATTCACGCTGTTCCAGCGTTGTTTGTGTCCAGAACACTTGAAAATCTCATGGAGTCTAAACTACAACAAACTGCATCTCATCCAGTTAATTCGGAAAAGCGTGGTTTTGTTAAGTTCGATTTGAATAGTAAAGGCGGAAGAAATCCCACTAAAGTTTGTTCAAAATCAAATCCACTTCGGGAGTAAATGTTTCATGGGACTTCGCTTTTACACCATGTCTTATTCACTATATGATAGTACAGAAACCTTTGCTTAACTGTCTGAAGGGATTACGCTTCACATCAAAGTTTCTCTTAAAAAGGTACTCATAAGGCGTATTCCAGTTGGAATTACTTTCAAAAGTGTACCTTGGAAATCTATATTTTGATAGTTATTGTCAATAGGAAGCAATACATAGTTTAGGTCAATTGAGCGAAATGTGCTTGTGAAGTCGGCACCTTTACAAAAAGATGGGTTAGTCATTTACTTTCCAGTTGACTAAGGCAAATACACACTATTCTAACTGGCCTATAACTTGATGTTAGTTGTCAATTGTTAACCAAAAAATTTAGTTAAATAACATCAGCTTTCTAATTCTCGGTAGGCTTGAGAAAGCTATAAATGGCTTGAGACAGGTGGCAGTACCGAATTCTTATGCCTCAATTTCGATAGTCTTCTTAAATAATAGTCTCAGCTTGTATTTTGAGCTAAATATAGCGTAAGTTTAGTGTTCAGGTGAAATTACAGAGATTTTCTAGAAAAGAATAGGTACCCTTGTATGATAATCCCATAGGAATAAGCTTAGTTAAAAATTTCCAAACGTTCTGACTTTTGTAACCACTTGGCATCTAACCAATCCTATTCAACAAATCTGTGGGAAATAAACAGCCTAAACTCCCATTAGTTATGAAGACATTTTTAACTGCTCAACTGTAACACTATTAGTACATCACTTATTTATTTTCTTTTTATTCCTTGTTCAGACGTCATGCTCTGTAATGGAAAAGAAAACTTCAATGAAATTACTTACCTCAGGAGCTGGTTTGCGTTTTTATGTGCTGAGGAAACTTATTTTCTTTTGTAATATCTCATAATGAGGGTACGGGGACCTAAATTATCACCTGATATGAATTTTGCGAAAAAGAACCCTATTCCGAATGTCACAGGGAGCCATCAGATGACTTGGAAGGAGTTGGCTGAAGCTGATGATCTTGCTTCCGCTCTCACCGTTGACCCTTATCTTGGATTCACTACCCATAAAATGACTGAGTATGTTTTTGCAAGTAACATATTCTCTTTTATAGCATGAAGCTAAGGATTCCAGATAGAATTAAAAGGAAGTTTCGTGATATTATATGCAACTTTCAGAAGCATAAATGTTATGATGCTGCCTATAATCAGTTGATAGCCGATCCAAATATTGTAAAACGTCCTTGGAGTGTTGATCCTCGGTTCAAAGAGCATGTACGTGTTTCGTAGCCTTGATTTATTCATAGGTCAATCGTTATCTTTTATTGTTTGATGATCGTTCTGGCATCGAAATTCGACCATGTTGGCGCTATGCATCGGAAAACCATATGGGTGCTGCAATTTTCGCAACCAGAGATTGGTAAACCAAAGGAATCCTCATAAATAAGTTTCTAGGGCCAAAGGATCACGTATCAGTACCTTGGTGGGATGTATTGCTGAACTTAAACATCACGAAGAAGCTGCATTTCTGAAGCATCACAAAAATGATTTTTCGGTTATGTATTCTTCTAGGAAAAATTGCTCTCAGTTGTGGTTGGGTCCCGCTGCCTACGTTAATCATGATTGTCATCCAAATTGTGAGGTAACGTTTTGTTCGATATATTACATGCATCTCAAGTTTATATCTTCCTAAGCAACCATATTCTTACGTTATTACCGACTGACTGATTCTTACTAGGGTCCAATCTTCCTGTTAGGTCTAACTCAGTAACAGACCATTGTTCTAGTTTGGAGATGTCTCGATAAAAGAGCGAAAGTCATCAACCAAATGAAAAAAAACGCAGATTAACCAATACAAAAAAGAGTAGATATTATGTGATAGTTTTAAGATTGCAAGATAAAAAGGAATATGTACCATTGTGATTGTTCCTAAACAATTCTGTTGACGTTTTCTTTCATATATTACATTTTTGTTTATTAGAGTTAGATCACTGGCTGTGTTTGTCGTGTAATTAAGATAATTCAACGATAATGAGATTCGATTTCCGCTGATTAATTTTATAAAACATTTAGTTAGTGTGACTTCTCTATATAGTCGTTGCTAGTCTGCAAAAGATTGTTTAGAATGGTAAATGGGATTTTTAGATTCCATGCCAGTGCTTGATTGTTAGCACAAATATGGATGTCTTTCCACGACTTTTAACTCATTTTGAACCTCGGAGAATGTATTAGGGATGATTAATGGTTTTTTAAGTCATTAATCTCCAAGTATTTAGTTCTCTTTCAAAAGTAATGATGTTGGATACTTTTTGAGTAATATTAACTCAGCATACTTTATTAAGTGTAGGCTTAACATTCCGTTGGTTTTATGAAACAAATCGTTCTTGCAAATCACCTTATCCTACCATCTTTTTTTCTGATTGAATTTAGTTCACAATTAACTGTGATGTTGACGCTCGTATGAGTTTGGAAGCAAAAACGGATATAAAATGTGGTGATGAAATTTTTATCTATTATGGTACTCACTTTTTTGATACAAATAATAGAGCTTGTGAGTGTTTTACCTGCGAGTTATTGGGGCGCGGTTATTTTAGTAAATTTACACAAACGATTGACAGTTCCACTGTTTCCAATCAAAAACTGATTCCAAATATTGTGAATGGTCAAGAAAACTATACCAGAAATATAGCGTCGTATCACAATGCCCGTTACAATCCTAATGTTCGTAGTCATGTTCTTCTTGATAAGATGAACTTATTACCAGGTAGGTTTGTTTCCGAATATCTGTATAAAGGTGTTAGTTCTAGTAAATTATCACTTATCATCCTCATTTGATATATTATTAACTTGCCAAAGATATCGCGAAACGACATCTTCATTGTTGAACATATTAACTTGTATTCTTTTGATTTTGCTTATATTCACTTCCAATGCGTATACAAAATAACAAATTTATGTTTGTGTTTATTGTGTATAGTGAACAGTAACGTTTATTCCATCAGTTAGCCATAATCAAGGTAGTACCTACCTAAAATGTGCATCAGTCGAAGTCACTACACCACATAAGAAAAACGAAGTTGACTAAATTAATAGAAAATGAATCGAGATAACAGTATGAAACAGGAGTCATCACTTACTAAAGGCCAAGCCACGTTTTAGAACCTGTTCCAAAATTTCGTCAATCACTAAACCATCCGGACTGACAAGACTTTGAAGATAAATGAAATAAAAAAAACATCCAATTGCTTTCATCGCTACGACCAAACACGGTATAGACAGAGATCAGTTATAAAACGATATTTCCATTTAGAGGGGAAGAATTTCGTCTCAAACATTCCGGCGTTGTTACTTATGGTTTTTAAATAGTTAGTTAGTTTGCTAATGTCTTCATTAAACAAAACCTTGTCGATCTTCACTCCTAAGTGTGTAATCTCATTTCTCTAAAGTTTTTTTGCTAACTAAAAGCTGAAAGTACATTCGATCATTATGAGAAATAATCGATGATATATAGAACTTTATCTCTCTTAGATGCAATAACGTCGTTATTCAAGTGTCAAACAGCAAAATAAATCTATAACGCCATTTATCTCGATGAATTCTATTTTATTTAGCTTTGTAGTTTATTTGTGATATGTAAACTTTTTCATGCAAGTAACTAGTGTTTATATTACATTAAATATCACAGTTTCTCGCTTTTCTTTACAATCCTTATGACATTTTGCCGTAATTCTCAAAGACATCAAACGTAAGGATTCTACGATTCTGTCAATTCACTTTGTTCATTATATGCATGAAAGAAAACTAAGTTCATGTAAAAATACAGATGATCCTCCCTACTCAGTAACTTTAATTTTCAATATTTGGATTCACTCTTTTTATGAATAAGGGAGTGACATTTTAGATATCAAATTAGGTCTACAGTTTCGTTAAATGTTTAAAATGCATTTTCGTCTTAATGGTTCTCTGGGATATTTAAACAAGTTACCAGTGAGATTAAGACTTTATTTATTTATCTTTTGTACATACTTTGATTTTTTTAGATAATACTCTGTCTGCATGTAATGATGCACAAAATGCTAAGCAATTATCTTTGGATTTTTTCCTAGAAAAGGGATCTTCCACTGGTTTAGCTTGTAAAGCATTACCTAATGCCTACGCCTTACGCCATACTGGATCTCGTCTAAACCGCGTTAAAGCTCGATTATTTGCTGCAAAAGTAGCTTCTATAAACAGATCCTTTGGTGTGAACAGTCAAGAAAACAGAAAGCCAAAAATCAAATCTTCTTACGAGAAGTGCAAATTAAGAATGACAATTTCAAATATCATTCCCTCTTTAAAAAGAAACAAGTCAAAATCAAATCCCCACGCCATTGGTAAAAAAAAACTAATAAAATCTGTCGCTGCCGTAAAAAGCCGACAAATATTGTCTGACGCTCAAGCAAAGGACAATTTTACTTCGAGAAGAAATATCGGTAACCTGTCTGATCACAGTATAGTTTGTGATGGTATATCATGGCAAGAATCCGATGGGACAAGTAGTGGATTAGGGCGGAGTGTTAACAATGACAGTAGTGGCTCCAATAGTCCATTACCACCAGATTTGGATCGGATGTCATCGACTTCACCAAACAATTCATTCAGCGAAACGATTGTTGTTACACCTGATCTTAAATCATCTTACTATCTTGAATCACTAGTTCAAAAGTGCACTGACAATCGGAATATGAAACGAAAATCATGTAGTATTAGTGCTGAGTCTTCTATACCAATCATCAGTCCATTACGAATTACAGGTGTGTTAAGCAGAAATTTATATACATTCATATTTTCAGATGTGTTTCAAAGTATGGAAAATTGAACAAAGGCGTTGCTAAATCACGTTTTTTATTGACGTAGATGACTAATCTTAGATACCTTTTAATGTTAGAAATATGTTAAAAAAAATCAGTCGTGTAATTTTTTAGTCCTATAGTTTGTTAATGATGCTTTTTAGTGTCATTGTTTTGAAAATTGAGTTTCGTAGAAATATTTTCTCAGTAAATCTGAGCTGAATTTATACTTTAAACCTAGAATGATCGTTAGTTACTGACTATCTATTTTCATGATTAGGTACTAACTGGTTACCTAATCCCTTACGTAAATTTCCCGAGATTTTAGGTCAAAATGTCATTTGTTTACAAGTTAAATTTGATTCAGGTGGTTGATAATCACTAAAACAGCTTTAATAAACTTCTTAAATAACTAGTACTGAACACCATTAATAAATTTACTTTAGACAAACAGTGAAACTTACGCCTGTTACTCCCAATGGAGCATAGGCCGCAGACCAGCATTCTCCAACTCACTTTCCCGGGCCTTCTTTTCTAGTTCCATCCAATTCTTGTTCATTTTTCTCATGTCTGTTTCCATTTTCCGGCGTAATGTGTTCTCTGGTCTTCCTCTCCTCCTTTGTCCTTGAGGATTCCATGTGAGGGCTTGTCTTGTGACGCAGTTGGGTGCTTTCCTCAATGTGTTTCCTATCCACTTCCTGCGCTTCTTCCTGATTTCTCCCTCCACTGGGATTTGGCTTGTTCTTTCCCACAGTAGGCTGTTGTTAATAGTGTCCGGCCAGCGGATCCGAAGTATTTTGCGTAGACAACTGTTAATAAACACCTGTATTTTCTGGATGATGGCTTTCGTAGTTCTCCAGGTTTCTGCCCCATACAGTAGAACTGTCTTGACATTTGTATTGAAAATCCTGACCTTGGTGTTGGTTGACAGTTGCTTTGAGTTCCAGATGTTCTTCAGTTGTAAATATGCTGCTCTTGCTTTGCTGATTCGCGCCTTCACATCTGCATCAGATCCACCCTATTCATCAATGATGCTACCCAAATATGTAAAGGTTTTCACATTTTCCAAATCGTCTCCGTCAATTTTGATCGGATTGGTGCATGCTGTGTTGTATCGGAGAATCTTGCTTTTCCCTTTGTGTATATTGAGACCTACTGCTGCTGAGGCTGCTGCTACACTGTTTGTCTTCTCCTGCATTTGTTGTTGGGTTCGGGATAGAAGGGCCAGATCATCTGCGAAGTCTAGATCGTCCAACTGCATCCTAGATGTCCATTGTACCTCGTGTTTTCCCTCAGATGTTGACGTCTTCATGATCCAGTCGATCACCAGGAGAAAGAGAAAGGGTGAGAGTAAGCAACCTTGCCTGACACTGGTCTTTATTTCGAACGACTTTGTGAACTGCCCTCTATGCACGATTTTGCTGTGTAATCCATCATAGGAATTCTGTATGATAGTGACTATCTTCTGAGGCACGCCGTAGTGTCGAAGAAGTTTCCATAATGTTGTTCTGTCCACGCTATCAAATGCTTTCTCATAGTCAATGAAGTTGATGTAGAGTGATGAATTCCATTCAATTGATTGTTCCACAATGATCCGTAGAGTTGCGATTTGGTCTGTACACGTAGGCGAATGTATATTCAGTTCTGGAGTGCTTATGTTAGCGGTGATTGACCAAGTATCCCATTTTCAAGGATTCTTTGTAAAAATATTTACTTGGAACACCAAATACTTTCTAGGGATGTTCATTCTTGTATGTGGATTAAAGGTTTTGTGTTTTACTCAAATTGTTTTATGATATTTAATGTAATCCAATAATTTTATGTTCGTAAGTATCCAACTAAGCTGTAATGTTCAGCATTTCATGGGGAATGTAGGAAAGCAAATTGTTTATAATGGTACTGGTTTTTTTTAGAAAGAAAAACATTTTTCCGAAAGTAGTTTTCACCAATTTTACCATATTTATTTATTGAATCGAAATCTGTTATGCAATTTCAGCTGAAAATGAACTAACAAAGAATGTGGAACCTATTTTGGGACGACTTATGCATGAAACAAAGTGTAGTAGTGATTTAAAAAACCCATTAACTACTAATTATATATTTAATCAATCTACTACTTCTGAACACAGTCGAAGACGTTTAACAAATTATGATGCTCGTTTGATAGCCGAGGCCAGTTTGCTCACTCCGATATCCAAACAAAGGCAACGTAAACCGCCAAGTTATCCAGATTCTGTAGAGTATGTTTCATTTAAAAATACGGTGAGATCTAAAACAAGGTCAATAAAGTGTGGAAATAAGGATGAACTTTTGAATGACAAGTCACAAAATAACAACGGCCATGATGTTGAAGATGCAAATGATGATTCTAAAAGTTTTTATACTAAGTACAACCCACAATTAGGGTTATCTTTTGTGGGGAATAAATATGTTGCGGCTTCAGGAACACAGTATTATGCTATGCCGGACCAATGTACGGATATTGAGTCTTTTTCTGAGGAGCTGATACCCCCATTACTAACCAGTCCTTCGAAACTTCATACAACGTCATCATTTACTTTGTCAGATAGTTCTCATGATGTGGGTCCTCCCTCCATATATTCCACAGCTGAAGCAGATGATAGAAGTGAACTCATTTCGATTGATTCTGAACTCACTGAACCCAATTTAGATACTGATTCCTCATGTGATTATCATATTTCTAACACACCCATAATACCTTTCGGTCTTTATAATAAGTCTATTACAAATGACAAAAAAAGTTCTTTAATGTCAGCTGAACATATTCTTATAGATCATGATTACTCTTTGCCAGCATATGATGCTGAATGCACTCTAGTTTCCGATCCAATACTTAACACTAAAATAAACAACCAAGACCACCGGCAGATATCCGAGAAAAATTCACTTCAAAACTATAATATTAATAATAATAATGATAAAAACTTTAATGCATATTTACCAGAAGTCGTCCGTACACCTCCACCTCCACTTCTGCAACCAGAAACTCAATCTAGTATTTTCGAATTGTATGCTCGTGATTCACCACGTAAAATTAAAAATGATTTTCTCCCAAATTCATCTCATATCCCCTCAGTTTCCTACGCTCATAATTCATGGCAGTCTCGAACTTCAGATACAAAGGACATTTGGCACCCTGATCTTCTGTTCTCTGACTCTTCTTCACCAGATTCTCGCCGTCTAACGGTTACTCTTAAACGCGTTGGACCTAAGCATTATCAAATATCTCAACCAAGTAGACTTTTTATTGATTGAAAAAGATATTTTGTCTATAATATATGACTATGCTTCTTTTTACTTTCTCGCAAATTTATAGAGATGTTTTTATTCCTTGTTTATGACCAGCATTTTCGATTTCTTACTACCTCAGATTTCTCATTTATATATATGTACTACATAAAAATCCATATTCAGTCCTATTATTTTCTTTTAGCATGGTAATTATTGTCAGTATGTATATAATGTTAATAAAAAGCACTCTGGCTGTTGTTAACAGTACACCTCTTATTCTGTGATTTCTTTTATGTAATGAGATTCTTTAAGTAATCTGAAGTCCAAATGCAATGCAGTCTTATTAGCCGGAAAAGTTTAAAAATGGCAAAGATTTTTAAATTATGACAGTGAATACTGATCCAACATCTAGATCATCTTGCTACAGACCTAGTTGCGGATTCCAGCTATCGCTCTACATACTTCACTATAAGTAACCAGATAATGTCACTAGTTCCCACACTGTCTGACACAAAGCCGAGTATATAAACATGTACTTGGTGAGTGAGTTATATTATTTAATTAATTAATGGGGAGAAAAAGTGTGGAAATGTTTAATTCACATTTTGCACCCATAGTTATTACTTTTAAAGACAAGGAGAGAAGTAACTGGACATAAAGACCACTTCATGTAGTTGGTGAGATCTATTAGTCAGCGACGTAACTTCAGTCTTAGTATTATAAGCAGAGATAGTTGGTGGCTAGCAGTGGAATCCAGGACGCACGTTTCGTTTGACGTCTGCTACTATATAGTTACCCGTATCATTTAGGGAATTAATCTTCTGAGACGGCAGTCCCAAGGTAATGTGTTCTGATAAATAGACCGAATTATCTAGCACTAACACGAAAGAAAGGCATGACAACTTATTTTTCCTAGACCGAGATATTCTCCACTTTTGTTATACTATTTAGTTCTATATATCCTTTGGTGCTTGGTCAGTTTCCTAAACAAAGAAAAACTACACTTGAAAATTCTGTCTAATGGTCATGATATATATGTATAAAGCTTTTCTGTGCTAACGCGTTTCACAGGACTACGATTAACCGAAGTCAACTAGTTATTATTGCTGAGTTTGTATTGCAGCACCAGCGAATAAATTCCGAATGGACACATTAGTACCTCAATTGGCTATAAGTTGGGTTAAAACAGTCCATCTAAGCAGTACCACATGATGAAACAAATGAGTTCTTATTTAGATAAAGAACAATGCCTTAATTGGTAATTTATTCGTTTATTTTTATTATAGAGAGTATTGGAGCAATATATATCAATTGACATTAAAATTAAAACACGAAGTTCAGCGAAAGGATCTCTTTCCAACGAATTTGTTATCAAGCTATACAATCGCATAAATATGAAAATTTTTTTGTATTTGTAAAAGTATATATCAGTATGGAACGTAGTTTCACATCGAGTAAACATTAATTTGACCACATTGGGATTAGACATAAAACTTTCCAGTGTGACATTTCATACTCCATCCTTTATATGAATTGAAGATATGTGTATTTCATGGATAATTTCTAATACTGTTGGTCTACTCGGAGCTAGTGGCAACATAAAGCTTATTTTTGGACGGTGTATTAATCACTTTCGAAACAAAGATTTTGATAAGTTTTATGTGTTGTATTGGTTTCCAGATTATACATTGTTTTCTACAGAAATTTTGAAGTAGTGTTTACTTTATTATGTATTATCATAAAGTCATGGCTAGTTATGTGGAATTAGAAACCATCAATCCATACTTATTTCTTCAAAATACTTCCTGGTAGTATCGGATAAACCTTTATTTTGAATATCATTTGAAAAATTTTCAAGTGAAACTTCCAATTTAACGCTGCACTTCATAACTAAAATTTCGTGTAACTTCTTCAACTACTTATTTATGGTTTATAGCAGCACTATTCTCCCGAAACAAAATTAAGATGTCTATGAAGCTAGATGCTAGATTCATACATTGGAAACTACTTAATTTGAAAATTATTCGGTTAGTGTAACAATTCAGTTACATTTAGATATTGTATTATTCCCAATCAGGTTATTTATTGCTGTATATTTGCGAGACGTTTATCTTAATGGGGAGATCCATATTTTAACGAATAAATGCTAGGCTGTAATGAACTGAGGAAAATCCCTACTATAAATGAGTTAATTATATATGTATATTCATGGAACTAAACAGGGAGTAACGGCAATAAATTCATCATGGGGTTGTGGAGATTTCTGAATTTCATTTAAATCATGAACCCATTTAAGTTGAACCACCATTGAAAACCTGAAAGTATTGAACGGCCATCTCGTTCCAGTATGGAACTCATCATCATCGCACGTCAGCGTCTCCGCACACACAAATTGAAACAAGAGTTCTTGTGAGGAACCGTGACCGGTAAATCTAATTTTTGTCAGGTGTTAGGCCTACTGAAGACAATCGAAGATAGTCGCTCAGTGTCGTGGACTAATTGAGGTTTAGTGTTGAAAACGTTGGATGCCGGCCCAACGGTCCATAGGTTAAGGGTTCGTGTGCGAGATCGAAGGTCTTGGGCTCGTGGATGCACCCTTCTGAGGAGTTCATGAGTTTAATGAAATTCTCCACAACCTTATACTGAGAATTTTAATGATGTATTCTACGCTTTCGGGTTTACAATATTCTGTATTATTGCACAAGATAATGAATTTATTTAAACCTCATAGATATACTAATTATTAAACTTGGTTTTATGATTCCAATTTATGTATGAGTTGCCAATTTATCTAAATGTTTGCTGCATACCTAATTTACTTAGTTCATCCACTATTCTGTTTTAAAAATACTCAACATGGCAGTACGCTTCTTACGATCGTTCACAAATCATTGATCACTGGGTAGTGATCAATATCATGAATGTCATGTCCTTTTTTAGTGCTGACCAAATTCTATCGATCAACCTGCCATGTGGCCACTAGATTAAGTTGCTCGGTATCTCGTGGATTATGTTGATATGTAGTTAAATAAATACTAATTTTAAGCATGAGAAAATATGATAATAATTAATGAGATGAAATAAGTAGAATACGACCAATATACTTCTCACTAAAATCTATAGTAAGAAATGCATCAGCACTATTTTGCAGTGCCTAATGTGAAACATATACAAGTTTCGTGTTTGAAATAATCTGAATCTTAAATGAGAAGACAAGGACTTAGATTGAACGCTAATTGGGATTTTTAGAATAGCGAGGTTAGTTTTGATTGTAGCTAGACAGGAAAATCATTTTTTCGAAATTAGATATGAATGAAAAACAATTTTTATGAAGATAGCCGTTTATGGAGATTGTTCATTTTGGCTTCGGCTGGAGAATGATTCAAAATGAATGAGTTCTAGACACTGTTTCATGCCATTTCGTGACTTTTGTCTTATACACTTAAAACCCTGTATGAACGGGACCTACTACACTTACATTACGAAGCTAACGTAATAACTTTGTGATAATATGTTAGAATCGAATGATTCTCATTCTCCAACTTCAGCCAGTTCGTGAAACTGAGTGACTTTCTTGTAGGTATAATCTGTCCCACCGCCGACGTGGTTTGTGTTGATACGGAATCTCAATGATCTTTAGTCTTTCTCTCTGACGACTTTTCGTAATTAAAACTGAATTTGAAATTCATCTTGTTACTTTTATCATTGTTTAGTTTGCCTTCGATGACATGATTATTAATGTAATTTACAAGTCTAACTAAACTTTTTAATATTGGATGGTTGGAAGTTATAAATAAAAAGGAGGAAGGACCACTACCTGACATCATTTCATAAAATTATGGACTATTGAATTGAACCATATCAGATACAAATTTTTTGGTTGAGTTTAGTGAAACAAATGTGTATTATTATTCAAAACCTTAGTTGACATGATTCAATACTGATTTTTGTGTCACGGATGTATTCGATCTTCATCCCCTTTCTAAATTTTAAGTTTTATTATTATTTCATGCTCAAATTTAATTTGTTCTTTATTAACTAACTTTTCTGTTTGGTTTTAACAACCAATTTTGTTGTTTCAACCCTGTTACTATTCGATGTTAATATCGTCTAACTGAGCAAATGCGGTCAATATACATCTACACTTGTCTCTACTTTGCATATGACTTTGTTACAAAGTCTTAACTGGTGTTAACTGCTCATAAGTGTTCACCAGCAAAGCGTTTCCTATTAAAGAATCTAGCATTCATCATCTAACTCCAGAGCAACAGATTTTGTTGGATCCACTAGGCACAGCTCTTTGGTTCTAGTTTGAAATTCATTAGCAGTACCGGCTCATGATATTACACTGCGTTTAATCAGGTATTTCAACCTATTTTAGGGATACTTTCGGACCACTGAGTTTGAATTCAGTAGTCACCATTTCCACTTTGAATTAATTCAGGATTTTATATGACGATCATCTAGTGATGTCCGGTATAACGTCTACTTTCGACATGATAAAACTCTGTTGGTCCTGGCTTCTCGAAGGTTGTTAGCGCATAGCACAAAACTATCATTTAAATAAGTTCATTGTGGAAGTCTGTTCAGTCTAAAAATAGTCATGATTTGTACTATAATTAAGATATGTTAAAGTATTTTAAGAAATTTACCATCAACCATGTTCTCCTTAGCTTTCTTCCTAAAAATTAGAGGAACTTCTATAACTAAAAGAATTCTTCATGGTTGTATTTTCCATAAGCTAACTGTTTCTTTCATTATTCACTACTCTCGTTCCATTATTTTTATTCACTTATTTGTTTTTGAGTATACTCACTTTCCTTCATCTGTCTATTCACTCTTTCATTTTCTTATCTGTGTCGCGCATATCTATTTGGGTGCCTATTTGTGCCAATAGTTATGTTCAAATAAATAATCAGTAAATCTTTCCAGTGGTCTAAACAATAATTATTTATAAAATTTAAAGTGTTTCCAGAAAGCAATATATACTGCCTAATAACTAGTATTAAATGATGCGTTTTTAAACTCTGAGAGGAAACACTTTGAGTTACTAAAAGAATTCCATTCAGTAACAAGATATTACTAATTACCTCAGTATTTTCTTAGTATAATACAGAAGTGAAAAAGTACGACACATAACCTACCTGGATCAAGGTTTTAAAGTGATTGGCAGTCATCGGCAAAATTTAGTCACCACAGAACTAGTTATCCACACGAAGTCTCATTATGATTGCATATAGACTGCTTATCATTACATTTTTAAGACCAAACCTACTTAATTTACAATTGAACCTAATAAAAATTAGATCAATAAAACTGTAGTTGGTTGACTGGAATTATTACCAATATGTAAGATGTAGAGTAGGACACAGTGTAGGCATTCGAATAATTCGACAGTACATAATGTTCCGGCTTGAAAAATTTCAAATGTTAACTAATGCTTATTTTGATGGTGATATCAGTGAAAATTCCTGACAGATAACTTAAATCCTCCATTAATTAATAAAGATTAGTCAAACAAATTAGTAAGCCACGAAGACTACGTTCTTTCAAGTGATCATCAAAAAAGTCTTGTTTATTTTACCCAAACAAGTGATGCATAAAATCGATCTTCATATTCAAACAATATTAGAATGTTAGTTCCGCTTTGTAAGTTATAATAATAAAAGGTAGAATTGAAGTAAAATCTTATAGTATTCAAGATCAATTTTGAAGTGATGACCTCGGAATAAGTATCTCTTTTTCCATTTTGCAGAATAATAAATAGGTCAATTTGTTTATTGATTTCGATGTCCTTATATTTTTTAATTTCAGGTTAGACCAACAGATTATTGATTACCAGTATGATTTGTAGTCTGTTCTCCATATCAATTTTCGAGGAATAGGCTTAATACTTGGTTGAACTGGACCGTGTGAGGGAGCATTTATATGAACAACAATAAAACTAATAACTCACCCTTGTTCTTCAACTCGAATGTGTTTCTCCACTATCCAAGATCAATAACAAACTGCGAATCGTGCTAAAGAAACGCAGCTAGAAACAGGAATTGAGTCACTCAAGATTCGGACATCAAAATCTTTTAAAACTGTAAGTATAATTTATTATACCGTACAAGATCAAAGTATCACCTACTTCATGTTCAAAACGTTTTGTCTACAGGATATCGAGATATGTGATAGACGCTCTGTTACTCTACAGTTTAATGTATATTGGTAAATTATTCCCCATAATTCCAGTGGATTCGGTCACTGATTATTTTAGCCAAGTTCGACCTGGATATATTTTCTTGTTGATTTGTTTTAGGAGATAATCAATGATGCAGTTAAAACAGAAATACAGGAGATTGACTGATGTGAAACACCGAAGACAGATAACTGAATCCCCTTGTTCTTCCACATGACACATGTTTCTACCTGGCTTCCAGAATGTTTACAATGATCTTAGTCTTCTAACATACAATCTTACTTAACAAACAAAAAACGGTGCTGTTGAGAACCGGTAAGCACCAAGATTCAATGAGTTATTAACATGAACAATCACTTCAATGATACGCATTCTACTACGATTATTTTCTAGTAGCTAGGAAAAAGTAGTCACATTAACTACTAAATAAAATTAGCTTGGTGAATAAACAAATGTAAATTTAAGGTAGAAATTAAAATCAAACGTATAAAACGGGAAATGTGGTTAGGCTGAGCTATACCCCTAAACAACCTTGAGATCTCAAAGCATTTAACCAAACAGGAAACATTATAGCATAACGAATTACTTATTATACTCAGACTAAGACTTTATATATGCATCTTAGGATCGTTGCGTTGTAGCTGATGTCGTTTATTGGTGAAAATATTTATTCTAACTCGTAGTGCTAACTCCTAACCCTATTTTAGCAAATGAGCTGTGATCATGAAGCGGTCGCACATACACAATTGGCTCGGTGGTATAGTTTAGCATCATCGAAAAGGTTTTTGCGATAAGACATATAGAATTGATATTAAAATAGGACATTTGAAGCTATGTGAAATAAAAGTTAGGTTGTCCTTGAATAGTGTTTTTTCTCTTCAGAATATAGAGGGTAATAAGTGGTTACGCGAGTACGCAGTCCGAATGTTTGTTATCAAAGTTCCATCTAGACGAAGATTACTTATTTACAAATTTGACAATTTATGAACTCTTTTATAACGACCCACCTACCCTTGTCGCTTAGTATTCTTGGACAATACTTCACTCGACAAGTCCTCAAATCAGAACGCGGTTGAACAGGAACGTCATTATATTTCAAATAACAAGGTTGGACGGAAATAGGAATCACCATAAGAAAAACATTAGTATATTTATAATTTTTACACAATAATATTCTAGAGTCTTCTCCAAGTATCCACTGGCAGTGATTGATTACGAAATGACCAATCAGAGTGCCTTACACAATCCTGCATGGAACATGCTTTAATCTAATCTATACTCAGTTAACAAACTTTATTTCATGATCTTGATATACTTTACGGGAATTGCAACTTTTACACGAGAAATAACCATAAAATCAACCATTCTGTGTTGTTACAAAAAGATGTGAAAATTATAATTCATATACATGCACTTGTCTGAAACGGTATCGATCCGTAGAATGTTATGACAGAAAAGTCAAATCAAATGATTGTATATCAGTAAACATTTATTCTCAGTAATCCTTATACAGAAACATTTTTGATCTAAGCTGCGAAATACGCGTGAAAAACTTGTGTTGTAACCATATTTTAAAAAGTGTTTTTAATATCAAAACAACATTCCAGGATAAATAATGGAATCAAAATACCACGAACATAAACAGTTAATCACAATGAATAAAGCACATACGCATGTTTTATCTGATTTTAAATCTAACTAATTTATGAGGTAACTAGCTAAATCAGTAATCAAGTTTAAATTCGAAATACCCCGCTTTCAGAGTCGATATGCAGTAGGTAATGATCGCTAAGCGTTTATATTACTCAGATGTGTCTCACAAACATTGTTATTGTTGCATACAGTTATTTGTGTTGTTACGTAGTGTTTCATCAATACACTGTGATAATTGTCCCTCACGGAAAGTATATCCCAGTCTACTCAGATGACTCTTAGTGAAATCTGACTAAAACTTAGACAATTTTCAGTAAGATTTCAAAGCAATCATGAATGGTAGTCTGATTGATTATGATGACAAGACTATATAGGAGAGCTTGCATTAGACAGCACGAATACGATTGTTTATTCAGCTACTTGTCTCTCATTGAAATCCCTGGAATATCAGAAGACAAAAACGAGTCTGTTTGTGGAAAATTAGTTAGCAAAATTAGATCTTCATATAAATAACCTAAGATAATTGAGAAAAGGGTGAAGTACATACATTAGCTAGTCCAACAACAGGATAAATTCAGTTTGTCGGTCATATGCAACACAGAACATGACACATAAGTGAATCGGTTAAATTTGCTACATCACGTCAGCAAAGCGAGATGTTGAAATAGTATAATTAGAAATGGTACTATTGGTAATATAAAAGATTAGCCATAGAGGGTATGACTCAAGAAAATATGAATTAGAAATTTATCATGGATAATTCTGTAGCTTTTGATCTAAGTAAAGACAGTGAATACGTCTGAACCAGTGTAATTGATTCTGATCAATGTTGTCATCAATGTCTTTAATCAGTGGTTATGATGAATACACGGAACCCAAGCAGGTAATATGTACCTGCTTACAATAAATTCATGGACTGATGCTATATTTTGATTAGTCCGTCATTAGCTTTCTTCCAACTTACTCCTACATCACCCGTCGAGGTAGGCAGTGGTTGGGCATACGAAATGTACGTCCCAACTTTCTCAATAGAAGAAGATTAGCGACTTCATTAAATGATTTGCCAACCTTACCTAGGGTCAAGTCTAATCTCGGTATTGCTCACTTTGTGGGACTAATATACATAACCAATGCACCAAAGGTATCTATGATTATCTATGAATATTCTATATTTCTAAACAGCACGTTTTTCATCCACAAAGTACAGCAGAGGAACAGGAAAAGCTACCCAAGAAGAATATTATTTTGACCGTACAGCAGCAAAAATCCAATTTTTTGTGTTCATTCTACTAGATTATTCAACAGTCTAAATTTCTATTAGTTAATGAAGTCACTTCCTACTAAATGAATGACTACTATTAGGATAACTTAAAAGATATGCTTGACTAAGTAATTTATCCACTACCACCATATACGTCGACTCAACAAACAGTGATGTAAAAACAGGAAGCTGACAGCAATTCTCCTACAGCAAGAAATAAAAAGATTTACTGAGTTTAAGATAATACTTTTGATATAATTGATGTACAGCAGGGTTTATTTACAAGGAAGTGAATAATTCTAAAATATCATTACTATCATAAACATAACTGTTAATCATGAAAATTTGTTGTAATATCATAAAAATAACAGAAAAAGTAAGATAAGTGGTTTACATGTGTATAAATATTGAAAACACGTAAACCAATACAATTGAATATAAATTTTATACGAAACTACAAACAATTGGAGTATGCAAAACTAAACGTAACTTTTTTCCTAAAGAAAAATAAACAGATTGGATTAAGGATGAAAAACTGAAATATAAATCACTTAAGAAATGATGCTTTGGTTAAATAGTATACGGCTAGGATATTATTCAACAGTATTTGGATGAATGACACTTAAATTTTATCATCTTCAAAACTAAACTTACCAGTATAAAACGTATCCAAAGCCACAACGAAATGCATATGATGTATTGAAGAGTAGTCAAATTAAGTAATATAGGAGAAACTAGAGAAAGTGAAAAATGTTGGTATTGCCTCAAAAAAAGACAACAATATCCCAGTGGTCATATATAACAAGGGGAAAAGAGGAGTTAAAAATTAAATTTACTATCATTAAATACTATTGAGAGTAATAATAACAATGATAGAAAAATAAATGGCACATGTACAAAAATAATGAAATTGAAATAATACAACTATTGAAGAATGAAACAACATTATATATATATATATATATATATATATATATATATATATCCAAATGGATAGTGAACAGTATATTTCACAACAAACTGTTCAGATCTACTAGGTAAGTTAAAACCTACAGTTTAAACACAGCGTTATCGAATTCGTGTATACATTCGAACGGTTCAATATGATATTGTTTATGATAATCAGCTGAACATAGGACTAATAATATTGATAAGAAAAACTTAACATTTTGGGATGAAAATAAGGAAGATATATCACTACAAAAATCAAATTACTGAACATTTTTCATGGAAATTGGAATGAAAGTAAAAATTTCTCAGAAATGATAATGATGCCCGTTTTTTGTTTCAATTTTGTGAAAAGTTCAATCAGGAAAATATATACACGCTTTTGGCAATTGATCTATTCGAAGAACCTAATGGAAAAAATTAAAAATGAACATATTCAAGTGAAATATAAAAAAAAAGTAGAGTGATTGAGAAAGTTATTTCATATCACTATCAGTGTTATATAAACCGAGAGTCAACTAAAGTAATGTTATAAATTAAAATAATGTTAATTAATTCTTCCTAACACGCAAAATTTAAGTCATACTTTAGATGATCAAACTAAATTTTAAATACGAGGAACACTGAGATTTATTCACTCAATTATCAGCACGTGGTCTATTTGAATCTGTTACACGTTAAACAACTATGTTATTGTTTACACTTTGACATCAAGTTTGTTGTGACCGGTTAATTTATTCGCCAATCGAAATACGACTCATACAATCTTAGTAACGTACTAAACCAATGAAGTTCGACCGGTATGAACAGCCTAGATTTTTTATTGGTTCTTTTTCCTCCTAGCCCTTCCACTTAAGTTCAGAACGCCAATAGCAGCTCCCACTATGCGAATTATTTATTTCATACATACTTGGTTTTTATACCAGCCAAACGGACTGCATTACACCATAAATAGGAAATAACATTTACACAATAGTACTCGTAGCAGGTGACTTTAATGCCCAGATAGGTATTTTAAACCAAACAGAAAGGCATTTAGATGGGTGTTTTAGTATTCCGGCACAGCGAACAGATAATGGTGACCGTCTGCTGCAACTCTGCTCAGACAATCGCTTATTTTTAGCAAACACAAATTTTAAGCATAAGGAGAGACATCGTCTAACGTGGCGACCGCCTGCACCAAACCAACGATGGACTCAAATAGACCATATTGCCATCAGTCATCGTTGGAGAGGGTCGGTACAAGATTGTCGCTCGTTCTGTAGTACCTTCTTGGACCCCGACCACACCCTAATACGGGCACGCATCTGCTTGCGCCTCACTGGACGCAAAAAAGCCACAGTAAAAAGACCCATTAGAACCGAACTGAGTAGCGAGGAAATCAAAAGTAGGTTCCAGGAACAATTGAGGTCACACTTAGGTAGTTCTGAAAACGAGATTGACCCAGATGTTGCTTGGAAGGCCATACAGCTGTGGAAGCAGCAGTGACATCTATTAGCGACTTAAACCACAGAGTTTCAAAGAACCAGTGAATTTCTTCAAAGTCTATCACACTGATGGATTCTCGCAAACTCGTCCCATCAGGTTCCGAACATGAGGAAGAGCGACAACAAATCAGATCTAGGTTAAGAAAAAGTATAAGAAACGACCGTGAGCAGTGGTGGGCAACGAAAGCAAAAGAGATGGAAAAGGCGGCGACTATAGGGAACACAAGACAGCTTTACAGACTAATAAAAGAAACTGGAATTAATAAGTCAAGTGTAAGTCAGACTATTTCGGAAAAAGACGACACCATCATCTGCTCTCAGTCCAGACGTTTAGCACGATAGGCAGAACATTTCAGAGAACAGTTCAGCTGGCCTTCAGCTACTCTACAACTACCCTCCATTCCCAGACAGTGTGAATGGAACATTGAAGTAGGTCCCCCAATCCTAGCTGAAGTTCAAAAGGCTATAGTTAATGTGAAGCGAGGAAGAGCAGCTGGTCCAGATGGACTGGCTTCAGAGGTCTTTAAGGATGGTGGTCCAATTTTAGCGATTAGGTTGACTAATATTTTAGCTAAGATCTGGGAGTTAGACGTTATCCCATCTAACTGGTCACAATCACTTATCGTCCTAATATATAAGAGAGGGTTAAAATCATCCTGTGACAACCACAGAGGGATTAGTTTAACTAATATAATATCTAAAATACTAGCCTCGATAATTATCAGACGCTTAACTAAGACTCGTAAACTGCAAACACGAGAGACTCAAGCTGGCTTCAGACCTGGTCGTGGCTGCATCGACCACATATTCACCATTCGTCAGGTTCTAGAACATAGGCATACTTACCGGCGTTCGACAATGGTGATCTTTCTTGACTTAAAAGCAGCATTTGACTCCGTAGACCGCAAGACTCTGTGGCAGTGTCTGTCATTGAAAGGCGTACCTCAGAAGTACATAAACCTTGTGAAGGCTCTTTACTCGAACACTACTAGTCGAGTCAGAGCTTATGGCGAACTGTCACCTGATTTTGGTAGCACTGAGCAACAATGTCAGAATGTTTGGAATGCGCTTCTCTTCCTCTAAATGCAAGTTGTTGCTTCAGGACTGGTCTGCGTCAACACCTGAACTAAGGATAGGGAGTGAAGTAGTCGAACGCGTTGACAGCTTCACTTATCTCGGAAGTCTGATCAGCCCTAATGGGTTGGTATCTGACGAAATCTCAGCACGGATTCAGAAAGCTCATTTGGCTTTTGCCAACTTACGTCACCTATGTTGAAGGCGACATATCCGTCTATCAATATAAGGACGAGTATACTGCTCGGTAGTTCGTTCTGTCTTTACGGCTGCAAAACGTGGCCATTAAGAGTTGAAGTTACTCATAAGCTACTAGTATTTGACCACAGATGCCTTAGAAATATTGCTGGCATCTGCTGGGATCACCGGGTAAGTAATAGTGAGGTTAGACGCAGGGTATTAGGTAATGATGGTAAATCAGTTGATGAGGTTATGAATCTTCATCGACTGAGATGGTTGGGCCACGTGTTACGTATGCCTGAACACCGACTACCACGACGTGCAATGGTATCCGGTATTGGAGATGGTTGGAAGAAAGTTAGGGGCGGCCAAACCAAAACGTGGTATCAGTGTTTGAAGTCACTAACTTCTAGTCTGAGCCATGTTGGTAGATTCAGACTACTTGGATGGGGTCTGCGTGACTATCGTAACCAATGGTTGGAGACTCTTGGTGACATGGCTCAGAATCGATCACAATGGCGTCGGTGTATACACTCTCTATCTTTCCTTAAACTAAGAGATTAAAATTGCTACATATCTTTCTTTCTACGAACTAATTCTTTCTTCCTGTACTATATCCTTATTACAATCTTTCTTTTATATATTACCACCTGTGAATTAACTACTTTTATGAATCTGGTGTCCATCTTGTTGTGTTAATGAGGTATGGCAACTTGGATCGATGCATATATGTGCCTGGTCCTACGTTGTAGCTGACTGACTGACATTTATAGAAGATCAACCCAAAAAGTGACTGTGAACGTGGGAGACAGAAATCAATAAACTGAGTAAAATTTAAGAATACTAAGTCGTATCATAATAGTCTATAAGTCAAAATAAAGCTTATAATAAGAGGAGTACAGCTACACACAATCTAGTTACTGAATATTTATACAATATATATAATATTAGTCCATTAATAGTTCTCAGAAGTTACCCGTAATTTAATCTTCACTAGGATATAACAAAGTTTATTCCAGGAATACAATACATCATACATAATTCACGATTAAAACAAGCTTTGGAAACATACGTATTCCATCAGTGTTGTTGTTTCGGAAGACCGCTGTTTGACCAAAGACAAACGTAAACCAATATTACAATACAATCGAATATTTTCAGCTTCCAGTATTTTTTGTAGATCTCTTTTGGTTCGTCTGCTTAAATGAATTACTGGCCATAGTGAGCAGCCAGCTGTACAACAACAACACAATAACCCACAAATAAACCATCTAACATGACTAGGTAGTGAATTCTCCAAGCGCTCATTTATTTTACGTATACTTTCCTCAAATTCTTCAGGTGCTAGTTTACCATGTAATTCATTAGGGAATTCTTCCTTGAATTTATTGTTCATACCAAAGCTAAGATTTTAATTAAAGAAAATGAAATGCATTATATAATTTTATGTGAATGTTATGAGTAAGTAAATTAACATGGGTTTATCAAGAAAGTTATGAACCATGTCTAGATTTTGCTGCTCACAACTTGGATAAGTAAATCTCTGTTGAAGCTAACTAAAAAGAATAAACTACCGAATAACAGATTAACATGACAAACTATATCATATAGGTAAATTTTAGTTTTAAACACCTGATTTATTGTAATATCAATAAAAATATACAGTAAAAACGCGGACGTAGCTTCACAAACAAAAATAGTGACAACAAAAGTGTATATTGGAAAGCTACGCAGACGAAAAGATTAGATAGTCCTATCTACTAATTATTAATCATTGATTTTGATCAATAAAAATATACATAAAATATCCTGGGAGCAATAAAAGGTAAGTTAAGACTCAGTATTAGTGACTATTGATGAATTGATTCTTGTCAGGCAATAACCATCTTACTTATTTTCAAAATCTAAAAAACAATGGAATGCTGTATACGCTTGTAGAACCAAGTTGTTCAGCTCAATTATTACAAAAATTCCGTTGAATCTTACACATATTGGAAGTTGGCCAACAGCATTATTGTGAGAACGAAAGGAAGTTGACACCACTCTAACTACACCGACTTCAGTATACAAAATTGTAAATTTCCCTGTAACTTACATAAGAAAATTCTTATTCGTATACTGTATTCTCAATGTCATTTGTGACATTTGATGAAATTTATTATTTTAAAAATTTCTAAAAGTTGTAGAACTTTTCAGGTCAAACAGTGATGCTGTAAAATCAGCTAGTTACAGTGTAAAGCCTGGTACGTATATACATCAGTTCAATTCACCAAAGGAAATTTTCAGGTCAAATCCTATAATAGTAGAGGTAGTGGCAGTACCAGCAGTGATTGGCATCAAACGATGTAAGGAATTCAGAAGTCCGGGATTGGGAGGACGATAAAGAATGGATACACCTGTGTTATTCCAAACGACTTTGATACATGCCATCCGAAGTCTCTAACCATTGGCTAAAATAGTCACACAGACCACAATCAGGCAGTCTACACCTATTTTGAACATGTTCCAAAAAGTCTTAGAATAAGAGAAAGAACCACTTTAAACAGTGTGACCATCAAACATTTCTTGGATGCAAGACATCAGGTCGATATCTTGCAATCTTTCAAGGTGATTAATAGACAGTCAAGTATCAGTTTTCCGAAGTTTGCTGAAGCAGTTGCCATCAGGCGTCGAAAATCTGACTTCTGTGTTCTAAGGATATCTATTAACCTTTCCTTGCCTTAGTGACAAATGTTCCTTCACTGTATCTTCAATAATATTTTTTCAATTCTTTACTTCATTTAATTACACCATCACGTCTTTTCATTTCGACTATCTTCTAGATTAGTAATCTTATTCTATTAACTGAGTTTTACTCATTATGTAATCACTTGTTTTTAGCCCTCTAAACTCTTGTTACAAACAATTTTGTATAACGTTTTTCCATATAAGGTATATATTAGCAATATTCCGTCTATTGAATTTATTTACACCCTTGCTATACTACACTGATGAGTTTTCAAAACAACTTCCAACTAACATCTGTTGTGTAGGTGATTTAAAACCATGTTGCAATTACGATTTTAAACACAGCTTGTAAGCAGCTGAAAATAACCAAACGAAATAAAATGAATTAATTCTATTCTGCTAGAATCTTTGTTCTTGCTTCCTACACTTTTGGACAGCTCAGTTTAATTGTCAGTGACTTTATGAACTGATGTTATGTAGTGAAGTCATATGACAATGAAAAGTAATAATTCCAGTGGTTGTAAATTATTGAAATCTGCACATTCACTAATTACCTAGCGTCTTTATCATATGATTCAGATGTCAAAGTGTAGAACGGCTAGATGCATTGGTCGTCTCACTTGTTTATTCAAATTACTCTATAAAGTTGAGATATGGTCAACATCAAAATGTAAACATGTTTACACAGTGAGGTTACTGAAATCGGTAATCTATGCCTACTTCACACTAACTGTAATGATGACTACAGATCGAACAATAGATCGGTAGTCTTGAAGTCAAATATGTTGCTTCAGATCAAATACATAAAAAGACTGGATGAATAAGTTGTTCAAGTAAAAGCCCAATGAAGTTTTCCCTCTAATCAATGGAGATGATGAGCAATAGTCAGTAAGTAAATCGAAATCACTAAAAGCGAGTGTTACTTACGATACAACACTGCTATTCCAACCATTACTGAACTTAATTACTTGGGTGGCACACATCTATCTCGGTTCAATTTACCTTATTTAAACTGGAAAACGAGCCACAGAAAAAGAAACGATATTGTGTTAAAGATACGGAAGGGAGAATATGAAATAAAAAGAACACGAAATATTGAAGGATACAGTTCAAAGAGAAAGATTACGTTCAAACTGACAGTCAGTAGCAATTGTCATTGCCTGTGTAGATAAGCTCAATAAGGGTTTATTTTAGGTGCAGTAGAAGTTGAAAAACTACAGAAAAGTGTATTCAGATCCAAACCGACTTAACAACAAACAAAAATTAACTATCTCCTAGCAAATAGGCAGAGAGTCGTTAATTTCCAAAGACTACGCTAAATGCCCTAACGCATGCAAAATGGAGTGTACGAATAAATCCAAATCACAAAATCCAAGTGGTCTTGACGGAATACCTCATCTTACAAGCCTTTCCTATATGTGGTTCATCTATACTGATTGACTGGAAGCTTACCTTGCTCTCATTTCCATGAAAGTGGATTTTTTTGTAACTTGATTTAATTGGAGTCTCGTTTAGTGCGAAATACTGGTAAAACGATTAACACGATATTTAGAAAAGAGGTTCACGGTTCACTGAGATTATAGATGGAAAACGCAAGTTGAGACATTTGACAAGAAAAGATTAAGCGAAGATATCTTTCGGCGCATTTACTCTCAAGACTGTACATTTACAAATACTACGTTCTCACAACATCAGAACCTTAATAGGAATAACATTTTTCATGTCTTGCCTACTTCGTTTCTCTTTACGTCAGCGAAATTTTTGTCGTTACTAACGAATATATTTTTGGTAATCATTGTGAGAAAAGAAGTATGTATTTGAGACTATACAACTCTCTTTGATAAGATCAGTCAAGCATGGTAAAACGGGTGAATCAAATTAGAGATATTTCATATGATACCGACTCAGAATTCTTGTTTCTGGGAGTTTTCAATTGGTAATTTTACTCAATACTTTATGACAAGTAGTAACTTCGTTCCACTACAAGGTAACCGACTTATGATCTACTGGTAAAATTTGCATTCTTGCCCATGACTTCAATGTCGACTTCACTAACGTTGATAACGCGACCGCCGAAAGATGAAGACTGCGTGAATTTGTGATTTGTTAGAGCTTTATTTAAAACGTCAGAAGCTAGACAAAGGTCAGAACTACCTTGATTATCCAGACGTACAAGAGTATATAAGTAGAATACAGGACCACAACACATCATAATCTATGACTAACGATTGACACATGACTAGGATAAGTTCGAAAAATAACTGAGCAGCTAATTTATGTTTAATTGACTTTTATCCTGCAACTGGCGAAATCTATTAAAAATTAATAGGTCAAAAAAGAACGTACTATAACTGTGTAGAAACACAGTTAAATTTCAGCTTGATCAATACATTGAAAATACATAAAATGGTTTGCAGAAGAATAGTAATTCAAGTTTTGGGGAAGATTGTCTCCACATTTACCGACATCTGATCGCGTGATGCTAACGATTTGAAGTATTCGATGATAGGATGTAAAGTTGAGAGGATTGGAGAACTCCGATTACTGTCAAGTCCTGCTCAAACCAGTGGCAGCAGCTACAGAGAACATTTCATTAGATCACGTGTTGGGTGAGAATAAATATACAATCAGTTTATTCGTATAGGCTTTCTAACTTGCGAATTTTAGGAACAAACAACTCTTTGCTCAGGGTATTGGTGTGGTGAAGTTCATTAAATTGCTACTTAAAACTCCTCATACATCTTTCGCGACGTACTGCTTTTTTGTTAGTTATTTACTGATGTAATCATGTTAGGACACTAAGCAATTCTGATCGGAAATTGACAACACTTTCAAAACTGAATAGTTTTATAAAAATTTGAGGAAAATTATACCTGTTGATTAAAGCTCTCTGAAAACATGGAGGGGTCATTCGATTACTGTACTTGTAAGGCTTCATGAAAATTTATAACTATACATACTAGGAGTCAACTTATTAATATTATTATCTCAAAAATAGACACTGGCAAGCATGCAATACAAGTGTTCACTGCAGATGTGAGGAGAATTCTGAGTGAATGGGATTTTAGAACTAAAGTAAATAATATTCAGACTAAACCAATGAAGCTTTACTGGCCAGGCAAAAGAAACTTTATTTTCGGGACTATTCACAAACTACTACAAATGTTTAACTTTTCGAAAAAGTGACTCACATTGTTACATCCCCACAGCCTTTTATTAAAACGGGCTCACGGGGTCTCTCATATTGTCCGGAAGAAACATAATTAAGAAAATCTATTTCATCCGTATCGTCCATTCTCACATGACCCGGCGTATTCAGAGGGCTTCGAAATCCAATATTTTACGCTTTGACCATCAAATTTGTGAACAAACCTTCCAGTGAATTAGGGATTTCTAACACTTAAGTTATGCATAGTGAGTGATCAAATTTATGTTACTGCATTGACCAATGAAGATGACTGCATTCTTCTTAATCTGTATGTAATGGTGCGTTGTATTATTAACGTCAGTGTAGCACACACTGTTATGTGGTGAGTTAAACACTCGATTGTGAATTATAGAAAAGGAAAATCTCATTCGAAACAAACCGAGTGTGAAATACAGCTTGGTAATAGTGGTCAGTATTCTAAAATGGATCTTGGAGACCCGGACAAAACCGTCAGTGTTTCATGTAGTCTCGATGTGGCTGAATTGAATGACGGAAAATTGGCGATCGTGTCATAAACAGCACCTGTTCGGTTGAACGATGATTAGTCAGCCTCCATCCTGAGCCACAGAATACATTGGTAAAATAATAAGGTGAGACTAGACTTAACCTTAACGTAGCTGGGAAAGTCTTGATCTCATCGAATATTATTACCGGTATTTTACTACGATGAAACAACCATGATTCAAAACAGATCGAGAAACTTCTTAGATGTAAAAGAAAGTATTGCAGTATGTTTACTTTTACATTATGTGAACATCACAGATCTTCCCATTGCAAGGCTAGGTGTGTTTGAAAAGCGTTAGTAAGTAAGGCTGGGCATAGTTTGGAAAGATTGCTCTCGTATATCAAGAAGCAGACTGGGATAATTGATGGAATCTCATCACTTTTGTTACAAGAAAGTCCGTTAATCTACTCAAGAAATTGTGTTGCAAAAGTTGAGTCCTTATCAGAATATTTCAACCGTGTTTTGTACCGACAATGGTGAAAGACCAACAATTAATTTTGAAAGCAGCTTGTCACTGGATCCTGTGATAATTGAGAAGGGAATCGTCTTTCCATTACTTCACCATTTCCCTTGATGTTAGTGATATTTATTTTAGAAATATGAAAGCAATAGTGTATGCAGTTACTGAACCTCTAGGCATAGTGTTTTTATACGACTTTGCTTTAGTCTATACTGCCAAGAGACTGGGAAAAAGCGTGGTTTTAAGAAAGACCTACCATATTGGATGCTATCTTAGCTGACAATAAGAATTATTACGTAGCAGAAATTTGAACAGTTATGGTCGCCAGGAGAATAGTCATTTGAGGTATACAGGGAAAGGAACAGAAAGCAAATGTTATTTCTACATAATTGGAAGAATTATGAAATGTTTGTTTTTTATGTTTTTCGAAGATATTGTAATTTCGCATAAAAACTATAAACTACATTTTTTCCTCCTGTGTTTTTGTTCATTATGCTACCATTCTCGATAAATCTATTTATTGCAAGAGAAGATTAGACAACCGCGACGTTTGTGAGGACGAATTCTGAACATGGGATTTAAGCAGCAGGTTTTCGTTCTAAATATGTGGCGGATATGCTAGAACGATCTCACATCCAGTCGTACTCTACCTTAGGTAAATTACCAGAAGAATCATTGACAATTTGTTATGGATGAGAGTTAGACTGGCTGACAACTGTATGTGAAAGATAGGTGGTTATGTAGATGCGGTCTACATATATCCACTTTTTTAAGTCTAAAACAAAAGGACAAAAAGCCGTGTTACCAGTTTTCTAAACAGATTTAGCGGTTGACTAAACTCTCATTGCGTGAGCCAGCTGAATACACAAAGATAATGTTTTTAGTTTAAGGGTTTTAATAGTTCTTTACTCGTTGAAAAACCTATTGGACACGTATATTATGCTCGCCTCAATATCATAGCTTCCCTTTGATGTCCTTTTAATTTTCCTGAGATATCCTGAGAGCAGTATAACTTCTTATAATTCTTATTTAACTATATCAGTCTTTAATGAGACTGAGTAAGTAGGTCTAATGTCTCAAGCTTTAAAATGAATGGCATATCTAGAAATTCTAGGATTACACGGCTGGCTATCCATCGTACGTACAAATGATCTGTATCTTTTTTAAATAAAAGTTTATTGCCTTATTTAGACCTTATTGGTACTGTGCAAACCACCATGAAGTTATCCGTAATTTGCTGAATGAAAGCTTTTCTTAACGCATTAAGAGCTCAAAACCCTTTAACGGCTACCGAAATTCAGCAAGCCATGGTTTTATGATAGTATTTTGCTGCTAATCAAAGACCATATTGAAATAGGACATAGGTTTCTGACTTTTACGATTGTCATTGTTGGCAGTTGTATTCTTAGGATATGAGTAAATGTACATGTCTGCACTGGCTACCATTACCTTACGTTCAGTCCAACTCCACAAAAATGTAAGCGGGCCTGGAGTGAAGATGCGTTACCGCTCTCTGTTATTTGTCACCAAATTTTGAAGTTATAAGGGCGCATTTCAGCAGAGGCATGATTAAACGTGAGAGCTAAATACTAAAAATTACGAAGAATTAGGACTTAAAATGGATTTTAGTGTTGCATAAAATAGTGCTTTTTGTAAAGAGCATTTGGAATTTATTCTTTGTTTTTGTAGACAGTCTACCATGTGGTTTGTAATTCACTTCATCAGAAGCCTAGAAATTCATAAATTTCCCAGCTTCGGCACAAGCAGATAAAGTGGCACTAAGTTAGAAGCTTTTTCAGGTCACCGTAGAAAACATTGACAGATTTTCTGCTACCAAGACACTGTATCCATTTTCCTATTGCTAAAAAGAGGTGATTGTTGTGTGATAATCCCTTCCGTAAATCATGTTGTTCGCTGATTGACAAACTGTTGGTTTCGACGAAGGTCATAATAGTCCGCACGATGAATTTACTAATATTTTATCCATTTAATTGTCGAGGCTTACTGGACCTTAGCATGATTCAAATCGTCCTAATCTTACCTTGTGCGTTGAAACAACGGTAGAATCCTTACAATTGAATGGTAGCTAACCATGTTTGTGTGAAATCTCGAATGTTGTAGTGAGTGGACGAGTAGTGTAGCAAATTCAACCTTATTAAAGAGTCGCGGAGTGAGGAATCTATGCTACTGCACAATATATATAGGTGTCATCCGGATATAACGAGGCGAACATTGTTAGGTGACTAGAAATACCAATGTTAAACAGGACGAATATCATTATTCTGAAAACTAAACCAGAGCATTGTGATTTCAATTGTTTTTCACGTAGTTTCCATGTTTTTCGTCAATATTTGAGTTCACCTTGTTGAGCTTTATTTTCCGTGTATGCATGTCTCACTTCGGTCTATAACCTTACTCCAGTTTTATCGCATGATTATGATAACAATTAATGCATATATCTACAACTTATGCACTGGTTACTGAGGACAGTCAGTGAGGAAGTAAAGCTATGGAGGCAGGAGTGTCCACTGCATTGGACAAACGTTGGCTTACTTTATATAGCCAGAGGATAAAGTAAACTGAAAATATGTGATAAGCGGAGTAAGCGATGCGCACATGTACGCTCAAATAAAAACGGCCAAGGCTATAAACGAGTAGCTAACAACTTGAAAATACACCTGAAGTCTGAATTCAAAAGAATAAATTAGTTGGTGTATCTATAGGCCAGAGTAGCTCGTGTCGGTGTTACATAATATTGGATACTGCCTTATGATGGAAATGTGTGGTTAGATTGTCCAAAATTTATTACGCTGAGGTTCAGGTCATAAGATGCAGACCTGCCAGATTATTTGAATGATATATCTCATAAATGAGACAACGGGGTCATTGTATCAGGTACATTCTTTGACTTTAAGAAACTTTTCTTAATGATTAATGGTAAAAGTAAGGGAAATGTCAAGAGTATTTAAGATATTAAACTTAACACGTGAATTTTCTTCTAATTGTAAAAGTTATTAATGTGCTTTTCTATACCAATCACTTTAACAATTGAAAGTAAAATTTGTCAATTTTCATTTATTCATCAGTTCAAACTGTTTAAAACATTTGTAAATTGATCACTTCAAAATAAATATCAAACTAATGCACTTTTAAAGACTGAAATTTCTGAGTTTCATACTTTTAGTAATGTGTATAGAAATCCGAATATGTACCTTTCTCTTTCCTCTTTCATTGCATATATTTCAAGCTGTTAAATGTAATAAATAAATAAAAATGGAGTTGACAATGATAATACCAGAGGTTGTAAAAATAATATAACGTATATATTGGTAATGCATTGAATCTTATTCTTCAGTTAATTATTGCAAATTACAGTTACAAAAATAAATACAAATGGAGACAACAGGAAACTGTAAAAAATGTGATTGGTTATAAACGAAAAGTGGATACAGTAGAGTCAAAAGTTTCTATCCAAAGAATTCCTGAAAGTTCAGTCAGGGATTCCAATAAAATATTGATAATCTACAAGAAATTTTAGGAAATGTTGTGACAAGTTATGACCAGTGAAGTTCCGCAATGTCCGGGGTGAGGAAGATACTTACCAAAGACAACAGGTGATCATACAGTATCGCGTATTAACTGGACTTAAACATTTAGGCTTCTTTACACCAATATGAAACGGCCGTGCTTCTAGATTTTCATAGGTCGTCTAACTTAGATTAACTCGTGATCTGAACAAAATTTTACGATCTCTACAACTCCCATACTAGTTTTTCAAATCATTAATATATAAATAGGTTGTGTCCGATTAAAGAATGAAGTTTAAACAAGGACACTTTAATAGAATCAGATGTGTTATCTTTGCATCATAGAAATAAATAAGTTGCTCACTTTGTTAACTTATCGTATGGCTGAATTAAAATAGTGTCATTTAACTGGAATTATTCTCTATGACGCGAAGGGATATTTCATATAAAAGTTTATCCACTGTAAATATTATAAAGTAATATCATAGCTCAACAAATTACAATGAGAAATATACTTTTAGTGAGTGGAAATTCTAGTAAATAGTCCAATAATACAAAAAGAAATCAGTTTATATGAATTCATATGAGTGTATTCGTTGTAATATAAAATCATAATAGAAGT